GAATTGCTTTACCAGAAGAAAATTGAAGTTTTGCAATGGCTGAGCCAGAGCCCAGATCTACTGTAAATACAGCTGAAAATCTGTGGGATGACCTGAAGAGGGCTGTGCACAAGAGATAAGGAAGAGTGTGCAAATACTGCCAAGTCAAGATGTGGCATGCTGATAGACTCCCACCCAAAACGACTGAATGCTGTAATTAAATCAAAAGGTGCTTTGAAAAAGTATTAGTTTAAGGGTGTGTACACTTATGCAACCAGATTATTGTACTTTTTGATTTGTTATATTTTTCCCCCTAACAGATTTAATTGTTTTTCCAATTGAATTATACATGTTATTGGTCACATTAAAGGTGGGGAAAATTTTGAAATGATTTAACATGACAAAAACCTGGCATTTTAATGGGGTGTATACTTTTTATATCCACTGTAATAACTGAAAATCCTTATTAATGATATTAATGCTCTTAAAATATGCAATACTGGGGAGCGCGTAAGCATTTAAAATAATTCCTACTGAAATACTGCATGTACATTCTTAGTGTAGTTCTCTTCTGTGAAAATATGTTTGTCCAATACTGAGAAGCTGGTATATATTTGTGGGTCTTCATCTTCTCTTTCCGACAGTGACCATAAAGGAGCAATTTTTACCTGTATACTTGGGAGACACCATAGTGCTCACCTGCTCAGAGGGAGGCAACGTCAAATGGTATTTCAATAATACTGTAGTCCCAGATCAAACACAACAAAACTATATCTTCACCATAAAATCTACTAGTGCACAAGGCCAATATGTGTGTGAGGGGCGTGGAAGTAAGAGTGATGCATATAATCTCAAAATCGAAGGTAAGTAAATATCTGCAATTGACAATAACCTATTATTACATTTAGATCCTTGTAAAATGTGCTACATGCTGTTTATATACTGTACAAATATATACAAATATGCTGGTATAGAAATATCTTTGGGAATTTAGTACAATGTTCTTTTTTTGCTTAGCAACAATCATTTATCAAGCAATACATGAAGTTGTTCAATTTGTGAAAGTGTCTATTTAGATCTTTGCAATAGATGGTGATGCGGTTACCTAGTTAATATTTACTACTACATGAGATTTAATGAGAACATAAGAATAGTAAATTCACCTTGATTGGCAGGTCTGAGCCTGACTATATCTAATCTCCTTCTTTCCTTGCTTCTTTCATATCCCAGATTCCTTTCCTCCAGAGATCCTAGTCACACAGTCTGGACATTCAGTGGTCTATAAAGATGACTCTGTTCTTCTAGCCCTTTACGTGGACGATTGTCTGAATTGGACGTGTTATGTGTATAAAAAGCAGCGCTTTTACCATGTAAAAATAAAAGATTACCCAAAAACTGGGCCTTTAGAATTCTGGACGTCCTCTGTGGAGAAGACCTCAGAACCATATATTTATTGGTGTAAAAAGAAGAACACAAACATGAGAAGCAGCACTGTTGTTCTCGCAGTAACCGGTAAGAAATGTTATTATTAAACTTTCACTTTCTATAATTTCCTATCGATCCATTTTTACACCAGTTTTACAGTTCTTTTTCTGAATGCTTAAACACTAAACTATGGGAGGTATTTTTTGCAAAAAAAATTAAATGAAAATGATAAAATGAAAATACAATCTCCACTTTGCCATTTAGGTTTTAAAGTCTATGTGAAAAAATCCTGCCAAAATGAAAATTAAAATGAAATACTGCCATTTGCATTTTAATTTCCCACTCATGTATGAGTCAGATGTGAAAAATTAAAATAATGATTTTTGTCTTTTCATTTTCCAATTTGACTTTTTATTTCAACTTTGCAATTTCATTTTCAAGTTCATAATATGCAAATATATGTTAATTGGAGTGGGGCAGTGGGCAGAATTATGGACTTCCGTTACGGTTGATGTGTTTCTTGTACATGGTCAGCGGTGTTGCCTGAGCTAATGGCAAAGTCACACGCGGCTTAAGTTAGCTACTCATTTGCAGCTTCCAGTTCATTTAGCTTCTTATTTGTAGCATCTTATTTCACGGTTTAAGTTATTCCCAGCTTCTTTAGAGTGGAGTGTTCGCAGCATCACATGCTGCACATTTATAATTAAGACATTCTGAAAATATGAAATAATATATTAATAGAATTTTTGTAGCACACATATTTATACAGGTATGTCATTGTAACGAAACACTGAAATTAAACCTGCAAGGAAATTTGTGAAATAAACTTAAATGCCTCATATCTATTATTGTCTATGCAAGTGGACCATAGA